TTGGATACTTTGAAGATTTTTCTTTAAAAAGGTACTGTGCATTTATTTCGAGGAAATAAACAGTTTCCCAGACAAATTGGTTTTTGAAATGGGCAGCAACATACAGGGTGTTCCTAAATAAGTGTCGCAACGGAAAACTGTAAATTCCTCTTGAAAAAAGAGACATTCTTTTCCTCTTCCATTTTTCTCTCCGGGTTTTCGTTTTTGAGATACACGGTGTCAACATTTTTTTTCAGGTTTTTGCCAATATCTTAGGAACCGTTTGAACTACAGGACTGAGTTTTTGTACATGCATTACCACTATTAATAGCTACTTGTAGCAAATGTTGTTAAATTTCGTTAAAATTGTTAAATATTACTACCTATCTTTTGAATCACAAAAGATTTTCGAAACGTTAGTAAAATGTTTGTTTTTCTTCATAAAAAGTAATTTTTCTTAAAAACTGTTGACTTTAGAGCAATGAACCAAGAGAACTCTTTTTGTGTAAAATTCATTGGCGCTTCAGAATTTACTGTCACATGTCAATTTGTCCAGTGGCGTAAAAGTTAGGGGGGGGGGGAACCCTGACGATACCTTAAAATCTCCACCACTGGCACGTTCAATGAATTCGAGAAAAGTGCGAAAAAGTAGATATTAATAGTGGTAATGCATGTACAAAAACTCAGTCCTGTAGTTCAAACGGTTCCTAAGATATTGGCAAAAAATTTAAAAAAAAATTAAAATTTTGACACCGTGTATCTCGAACACGAAAACCCGGAAAGAAAAATGGAAGAGGAAAACAATGTCTCTTTTTTCAAGAGGAATTTACAGTTTTCCGATGCGACACTTATTTAGGAACATCCTGTATAGAATATTTCTTTTATTGTTTCGTGTATTTAGTTTATTACTCCAGCCGAATTAAAGTTTGAACGTGAACAAATTTTTAGTAGACATTTTATTACACTTTTAAGTGACGCTAAGTTGGCAAATTGCAAATAAGTGGCAAATTTACCTGTTTTTTCACTTTTTCTACTGTTTAAGGTACCAAAGTCATATGTCACCAAATCAGTTTTCGAAAATTGCGCATTATTGCAAAAAGCGATGGATATTGATGAAATTTATGGAACAGACGGTCAATCCAAAGACCAACATGAGTGCTAAAGGCCGATTCGATTGACCATGAAATTGTTGCTCCAGTTATTTGTTAATTAATTTCATTATTTTGCAACTAATTGTTTAATTACTAAACGTTAATTTTAGAAGTTAATATAGTAGATATCGGTTCTAATTGATCCAAAGAAACGCATCGAAAAAGAAAAATTTCAAAAAGTTGAAAGTAAGCAGACCTTTATAACTAACAAAGTACGACATGCAAAACAGCGTTATAAACAAATTGTCCCCGGGTCAAACAAAAGCCGTTCGAGAATTCGCTCTAATTACATTAAATAGACCATTATTTTTAGGGTAATTTTAAAAAAAAAAGATAAATCACCTACGTCTCTTTGTTTTGCTTTTTTTTTATAACATTAATTGTTAATAACTGTTGGACATATCAGACCGGGATTTTATGGATAATTAAAGATAGGGTTAAACTTTTATTTTCAGAAAGTTTTAGATTGATTGTTCATGCAATATGCAATAAACGCGCTAGCAGCAGTAAAAGTTAACGTTAATGAACGGCCTGCACGTGGGAAGAGCTCCAGGTCCGCGCATACGCGTGAATGTCGCTCTCGTCGCGCGCTAGGTTTTTGACTTGAACGTTTCAAATTCTGTTAAACAATCTCGCGTGCACCTAGGGCGGTGATGCAATTTACCAACTTAGCGTCGCTTCTTTCCAGTTACTTTTTTGATATTATGATTCTAAATACATACCCTTTCCCGTCATAAAGTGTAATAAAATGTCTGCCAATATTTTTTTCAGGTTTTACGATCTAACTCGACTGAAGTACTTATATTTAATTTTACCAAGTCCAAAAATCTTTGATTCTTTGACGGATTGATCATAACTTAAGACAAAGGCGTTAAAAATTAAAAATAATAATTGGAAAATATCACTTCAGTATGTCTCAAGTGGACAAGTGATCAAAACGGGGTCTCCGTACATTTTTCATTCTATAAATGTTTTCCTGATGCACGTGATAATATTCCAACATTGTTACGAACCTGATTACAATTCTGTGTTATTTATTCTTAGCAAATGTTTTTAGATAGATTTAGGTCAGGTGACCTAGTTATCCATAAAATGGTTCGTTATGATCTACCTATTGGTCACTAAAAGCGTTTCATAGGTGTTTACGCACTCTCACAAGTCTTAATATGAAGTGGTGGATGTAACTCATTTTTAATACTTATCAAGTAAATATTTATTTTTAATTTTTAAATCTTCCTATACATACTTCGCCTAAATTGGTATGGCTTCTGTGAATAACCGACATACAGGCCACTAGAAGGTGGACGAGCATCGCGAGCCTTCCCTGGATGGTCAAATCACGATCAGCGTTGCTTGACTTTTCATATCACTGTGATAAATTCCAAGTGGTTAGGCCGCACTAGTCTTAACTAGCTTATAAAATTCTCCATTACATTTTATGTATAGAATCGAATGAATCCATTATAGGTAATGTAATGGTCATTGACATTTTTATTTGCAGCGTTAAATCTTATTACATTAGTTTCTGTTAGATTGACTTTTTTTATTTAATTATTGTTTTTTTTTACTTCCGACATCGAAATGGAATTAATGTTAGATCATTCATAGATGATGGTTAATTATCATAATATAGTGGTAAAATGTTTCTACTCTGTAAAACCCTAAATTAGTTCAGTGGCGGCTCGTGACATTGAGAATATGTGAAGCATATTCACTGATTGTCTAAAAAGAAAAAAATAATAAAAAATTCAAAATTTCAAGGTCAAACAGCTTTAAATGAATCTGGAAATTTTTAGTTGCATTTGCAATATTATCGAAAAACTGACGTTCGTGAGAAGGATTTTCATTTAGATTTTATAAAAAATATAAATATTAGTTAAGCTTGTGGACTTCTGTGAACGCATACCGTACATATATGTTCTAATGAAGTTTTGTGGTTACGACAGCCTGGCGTCACCTTATTTCACACTCCCGACTTTACATCCACAATTAAACACGGCATACAGAATAAAATACATACTGGATCGTACATAGAAAAATTTCTACAATTATTATACAAAACAAATATTCACTATAGTCCGCGGTTGAAATTATAGAGAGTGATTCATCGCTAGCTTTTGGACTAGTAGAGCTTGCTTGGGCCAGTAGCTGAAGTATTTCCCCTGGAATACATATATTTTTATAATTTATCATTACATAATTTTGCATTGATTAAAAACAATATTAATTGTGACTAGGAGTCATGAATAACTTTTAATTGTAGTAACAAGTACACGTTTAATTGTAATTCGAGGATATGTGCGATTTTGTCACTTCTCTGGCGTCACTTCTCTGGCGTTACTCCTCTGGCAGTTTGTACGCCAGGGGAAACACATGTAATCCAGTGGAATGACAAAAAATGTAACTTGATAGTTAATATTTTAACACTGTATTTTACATGTTTTAGTTAGTTGCTTATGATAAACATAAGCCAAATATCGTGATGAACGTCATAAAAAAAAAACAAAGGAGAGAAGAGAGACTGGAAATTTGTCACTACTCTGTGCATAGTGTCACTCCTCTGACCATACATTTTCCCCTGGTGCCTATAAATCTTAAAAAATAAAAATATCTTCTGGACCTTATCATTACAGATACATAAATATTGCCAACTTGTGAAATAATTAATACTATATTAAATTGATTAATTTTTCTTTATGGACACCGAAAATACATTTACTGTATAATCACCCAATTATCAATAATAAAATTTTAAATTTTTGACAGAGTCGCGGAACCCGCAGAGAGGTTGTGCGGAACCCCAGGGTTCCGCGGAACATAGTTTGAATACCATGGGCGATGACAATGCTGTTTCAATATCCGCGTCACTCATATTCCCACGCAGTAGTTTACTCCCATGTTGGCCGCCTCGTTGCCATGACAACCGACGTAAACAACGTTACAAAGAGAAATGAAAAATACAGACTGATTTCGATCTGCGTCACTTGCGTACACTATACGTTGTATGGTATGTACGAGGTTGATGTTTGCGCTCAACGAAGGCAGTGTTTTTTTTTTAGAAGGCGTTCACTGCGCTACTATTCTGTTTATTTCTGCGTATTAAACAAACAAACACAATACATTTTTGATATAGAATTATACCTAAATTATAAAATTTATATAAAATTAAAAATAATTTTAAATTGCACAACCAAACGGAAATTTTAGGTGAAGTGGAGCGTCACTTGCGTCACTTGACGAGCCGCCACTGAATTAGTTAGATCCTTGTCTTACGAATTTTGAAAAATAAATCTGCTTCCTTTTTTTCAAATCAGTACATTTATTTTTCACATTCTAGTTAGGTACCTACTTTTATTTACTCGTTACTGACATAGCTGGGGCATCTTGTAGAATGATTGCCACACTGTGAAAAATAATTCCACCGGAATAATTTATATAAAACAAAGTAGAATTCAAAATCAGAACCGTAGTGTAGGATTTGCTTGCCGGTCTGGCCCTCCTTCGTTACTGAAATATAATAGCTGTTTTATTTAAATACGCAAATAATAAAGTCAGAATTCCCAAATCGATTCATGTTTTGACCCTAAGATCAAGGCATCCTTCTAGAGAGCGGTTTTCAATATTTCAAACCGACTGGGTAGACAGTGGTTGGAAAAACATTTCTATTAATGATCTCTTTTTTTTGTAGCGGTAATATTAGCGGTAGTGACCCGTCGTTTTGCCGATTATCCTTGCCAATTGCACAGCTTCCTTAAAGGACATGTACCAGCAAACCAAAATTTTATAATAAAATGAGAAACAAGTGTGAAAAAAAGTTTTTTTGACTTTAGTTTACTTAAATACTATATGGAATAATTTTGTGTGTTGCAGATGGATCTAAACGAATTGGGGCCTGGTCCAGCCGAGCTCGTACTTCTGCCCGCACATTCGCTACCAGGATATTTACAACAATATGCAACTGCACAAATACCGTTCGAACCACTTTGATCACTAGGAATAACAATTAATAAAATTGGTTGAAAAGGTTTCTACAAAAATGGATAGATAGATTTTTGGAGACAGAAAACATATCATCGTATTACGCAGTAGAAGGCCTGAGCAAAAATAGATAGATATGTACCTAGTACCTATAGTTAAATGGTTTTAAATATTTCTGTTTATGAATATTTCGTTAATCCATTCAATATTTTTAATACTAAATGGTAAACAGTGTAATGTATCATGTGACTTACAAGTCAGGCTTGATTTATCACCAGATAGACGTCAGGTGAAAATTGAATTAAAAGATTAAGGTAATTTCCGGCGATTATATAAACAATCCTGTAAGTACCTATATATTGATTGTATGATAATATGTACTTAATTATTCTCGAAAAATTTCTACCTGCATTTTGAGAGAATTTGATACTAGGCACTTTTTATTCTATACAATAAGAATATATTATTTATTAATGATTAACTGATATTGCGGTGTTGGAATGTAGATTACAAAGAATTATATAAATTGAGCGGTGACAATACATAATAGAAATTTGGATCAAGACCTAATATATATTTTTTTAAAACAAAGGAATGAGCAAAATTGCACTTACTATAAAAAAGTAGTTACATCACTGTTTCAGCATTCCTCGTGTAACAATTTTTTAATAGAAATTTTTTAAGAAATTGTTACGGCTTTCTGAATATCTATGTGAAATTTGTTTTCATAAATTGTTGGTTATGAACATACCTACTGTTTCTTTGATGAGTGAAACATTTTTCACTAAAAATGTGACGAGTGAGACAACTTCATCAACGAAAGAAGTATATAAATAGAAAATGCTACTTTTTCCACGCTAACGAATTGTTTCGGTGCAATTTATTAATTTTTGTTTAGTTGCCTCCCTATAGCACATTAATGAAATTTATCTGGTTGGTTTACTGTTTTAATTAAGAATGTCATACTGGCATACTCATTTTAAGTTGCAAAGGTGACAATATCGGTCTTTAGACTAAATTGAAAAATATGTCAAATTAAACCTTGATCAGGAGAATTGAAACTTTACACAAAATAAAGTTCTTTATGCCCTACATTCTACACCAAAATGCTCGAAGTTCTAATCCAATAATAATATAAAAATTGTGGTCTGGTGCTAATCTAATAAAAATAATACAGCCTTGTTCTTGTTTAAAAAGGCGGGTCTTACTGTAAGTATGCAATGTGAAGACAACTTGGGAGTAACTGACATAGTTTATTGTAGAATAAATAAGCTATAGCTAAATAGAAAGTATATAATATCAAAGGAATGTGAAAATACGTAATTATACAGGGTGGTTCACAACTTATCCAAAAAAATTTGGGAATAGATGCCGCATGAGAAATGGAATGAATATCGTAAAAAAAATTTTGTAAATTCCTTATAATTTCCGAGAAAAAAAAAATTGAAGTTATAGTACATTCAACCACTACATAGCTGGACAACTGTAGTCTCTAGCGTCATTCGCCACGTGGCGTCAGCGACTCCGAATGCTGAATTCGGATTTTGCAATCGTCGTTGCGATATTTACCTGTTAACTGTGGTGTTTACAATAGGTTTTTAATAGTTAGTGTCAAAAATGGGTAGTTAGTGTCAAAAATGGATAATTTATGGTGAAGCATTTGTGTTATGGTGAAACAAGACAACATTTGTGTTAGTTCGTAGAAACTGTGTACAAGGGACCCAAATGTGTTTACACATTGGTGGATAAAATATTGAACAGTTGTTGTAACATCGGGTATGTCAAATGATTTTATTATTTAAAAACACAAATTAATTTTATTAATTAATAAAGGCAAAAGCAGTTGAATTTGCCGATATAAAATAGGTGCGATAAAATTCTATTTACATATTTCTTTCCTTGCGAAAGTTTTTGTCCGTTTTTATCACACCGCCATGCCGGTCGCATTGTGCGAGGTCAGGTTTTACAGTGGGCCAGTTTCCAGTGCCGTGCAGAAGTGTATTTTTAAATCATTTTCGAACTGCCCTTTTTGATTTTTTCTTTATAAAATTGTATTTGTAAGGGTCCTCTGTACATCCAGAATTTTTTTTTTGGATAAGTTCTGAATCACCCTGTATATATCATGCATAAAACAAAGGAAGCTATTATTGGGGCTATAAAATTAATGTTATACATATTATTACATATACATATATTTGATTTGTGATGTTAATTTTGGTTTCAATCATTGAGTGTGAAAGAAAATAATTTGATTTATATTTGTAAATTATATTATTAAATAAGAAGTAACAAAACTGAAGTTTTATAAAATACTGAATATTTAAGTAGGTAATCTAATAGTTTCAAGTACATCTTCTGTTAGATAAAATGCCTAACGGATGCACAAAATATACAGTACCTTGCCTGTAGGTAATAATTGTGGCACAAATATGTAATTGTATAAAATGTACCTATGCACTGCCATCCGCGATTGAAACTTTTTTTTTAACAAAAATCTAACTATCCTTTTGAATGTCGTTATCTAATGTGTTAATTAGAATAAAGTGGTATAAGTAATTTGTATGTTGTAGAATTACCGGCCATCCTCGCTCTTCGATTAATGTGCACCTTGACTTTGACGATTATTTTTCTGTCCACCGTAAAACAAAATTTAGAGTAAGCTCAACTTTTCAAATTAAATCTTCCACCAATATCAGGGTCGGATGATCAGGGTGTTAATAATTACAATACAGGGTTCCAATATTCTGTGCAAAACAGGGAACTACCACAGATCCTTTGGGATCAAAATAAAACGATTTAATTATGTTGCTTTGTTTAGCCGTTAGAGGGCGTCAAAATGTGCAACAAATTTTAGGTTTTTTTCTACAGGGTATTTCTGAAATAAGTGCTTTCCTTGGAAAGGGTAATAGAGGGCACGAAAATAACCAACTTTTATTAAGCAACTGATGGTCTAAAACATTACGTTTTAAATTGAAAAAAAATCATGTTAAGATTTAAACAAATTTGAAGCCATCCCTGGTACGGCAGCCAGCTGTACCGGTTTGACGATTTAAATTTTGTGTTCGAAAATGCTGAAGTTTATTAAAATCTCGTTTAAAAATAACACAAAAATTAAGCGAATTAACGAATTAAGTACTCACCAATAGACGATATACTCTACAAAAATTGTTCAAAGTTGTTTTCATGTGCTAATAAAGAGGCTTCCAAACAACGGTCAAAATTCTGTCACCATAAACAACACACCACACATTCACTGACAACCGTTGCTGGACTATTTCTGTGATTAAAAAGAAATAGTGAATGTTGTGAAAATTTAGTATGCCGTCTCCAGTAAAACAACATTCATCCGCAAAAAGCACCTTGCTTGTGAAATCTGGATCGTGAGCTGTTTGATGTCGAAACCACTGGCAAAATTCCACACGGGGTTGAAAATCATTTTTATTTAATGCCTGAAATATAGGTGTAATAATTACACAGACCCACAAAAAAAAAGTTGAAAATACTAGAGACTAGGCCCACCTATCCTTATGTATTTTGACGCGCTGAAATTAACTCCGGAGTCAAAATTGCTCCATCACCCTCCAGTTTTTTTTTTTAAATCGCGAAAAACTACCCGAAAAACACGGAATATCTTCAAATCCTCACTTGAGCACGGGTCCGAAGGTTGAGATAAACGTGAAAACCAGCACTATTAGACTATTTTATATGTATTTTGACGAGCTAAAACCGAATCCTCAAATACAATCCCTGTTTAGAAAATTCAAATTTACCATAAATGTAGCATAAGTCATCTTTATTTAAGACATTAAGGAAATGGAACGCCGATACCAAGGACGATGGGATGTTAATATGATGGCAAAATTTTGTTGGATGCTTAAAAGTGAATCCGAGCCAGATAGCAGAAAAAGAAAAAGGTATCCACTACACTACGATAAAAAAAAGAGAATGTTAAGATCCGAGACAATAACACGCAATTTTCCGTATTTTTGGGATGATTTTCGCGTTTTAAAAAAAAACTGGAGGGTGATAGAGCAATTTTAGCTCCGGATTCGGTTTTAGCTCGTCAAAATACATATAAAATAGTCTTAATTGTGCTGGTTCCCACGTTTATCTCAACCTTTGGACCTGTGCTCAAGCGAGAATTTGAAGATTTTCCGCGTCTTTGGGATGATTTTCGCAATTTAAAAAAAATTGGAGGGTGATGGAACAATTTTGGCTCCGGATTCGGTTTTAGCTCGTCAAAATACATATAAAATAGTCTTATTGTGCTGGTTCTCACGTTTATCTCAACTTTCGGACCCGTTGCCAAGCGAGAATTTGAAGATTTTCCGTGTTTTTGGGGTAGTTTTTCGCGATTTAAAAAAAAAAACTGGAGGGTGATGGAGCAATTTTGACTCCGGATTCGGTTTCAGCGCGTCAAAATACATAAGGATAGGTGGGTCTAGTCTCTGACATTCTCAACTTTTTTTTTCGTGGGACTGTGTTATTGTTCCCATAGTATACGCCATACGGTAGGTAGGTACTGTTAGATACCAATGTCGGGAGTAGAGGTATTTTAATATCTCATGAGCCGCGAAATGCGCGAAAGGCGTGGCGTATCCCCATAATTCTTCTAATAAGCACGTTGTGAAAACATTGACTCATTACAAGTAGACATGAACTATGGCGCTCGGGCATCAATAAAGTCAACTGGCGAACGTTCGTTATATATATTTTTATTGTTTAAATTAAAATAATAAAGAATAAGGCATTTTATTATGATATTTGTAATCAGATCAAAGGCTTGTTTACGCTAGAGCTGGAGTGAGACTGTGAATAATAGGTGTAATGTTTTTAGGACGTAGAATAATTTAGGCAACGGTCGGAATTATGCTTCTGCGCATATGAAGGTCAAAGCTCATAAGATTTTAAAACATCTCTAATACACTACACAAACTACACTAATACACAATATGCGCAGGGTCGGCTTACATTTACGGTTAATTTTCTTAATTCATTTTTTCGAAAACAAAAGCATTTAGAACATCAGTAGTTTAATAAAAGTTGCTCATTATCCTGCCCTTTTAAAGGAACGCACTTATTTCAGAAACACCATGTATATAACACTCAAATTCTTTCTTTGCTAATATCTAGTGTATAGTTGTCACATTTACGCAGTACGTCCACTATTAAAGAAATTGGCTCACATTTTTTGTGGGTGCCGCACAACTTTAGATTTTGTTTTGTAAGCTATTGTATTTTATTTTATAGGAAAGACA